CCAGCTGCACGCTGCACGTATTCTACGGTACGTAGGCACTGTCACGCATCGAACACAGTCACGCATTGCGGTCGCACCGCGCGACTATTGTCGAAATAAAGATGCAGATGTCGATGAGACCGCGCATACTCTTTTCAATAACCTAAAAAATATATCATGCGACGTGGAACACGAGCGAGTTAGTGGCACGGTGATCGCGACACAACGAAAAGCCGAACGATAATGATGTTGCTGCACTTTTAATAGTTGGTTTTACAAGCTCCCTTCACATAGCATGACGCTACGTGCGTGTGCGTCGTTAAAGGTGGAACAACGTTCGAATAACGAGCACATGAAGTGATAAATACATCACACATCATGATATAGCTTATAATTTTATCATGTTACATCGAGAAAAAAGGAAACATCTTCATCTGATTAAAATTATAATTATTTTTGGTTTCAACCATATCTTTAGTTGTTCTAACGCGAAAATAGTAATACTAAAATGCATACAAAGTTCATATCATTATTAGTATTTAACTAGAAATCAGCATCAGTATAATTCAACCAGAAAAATGTTTTTCTTGATCATAATTTATAATAATTAATTCTCTATGTGATCATAGTTACAAACATTCTTTTTTCAGTGTACACAATATTTTATCACTGTATGTATTGTATGCTTATGAGAATGAGAAATTTCACTACCGCGAAGCGGTCAACGTGTTTCTGATATTTAATATTAAAAATATTCATGCGATTAAACTTTTATTTAAACTTTCGAAAAAGAAAAAAACGAGGTCAAACTGGAATGATTAATAAAATCCTTTAGGCAAGTAAAGAAAGAGGTGAACAATGCCTCGCGGAGAATAACTTTGAAAACTAATTTGTGTACACACTTTTGCAATATCCTCGCATTGTTTCTCGCGAATTGATTTATCGTGGGAACTTCGTTCCTTGATTACGCAAGCTATACCGCTTCTAGCGGGTTGTTCGCGTGCCTTCAAGGTAAATATCGAATGCCGTTTATTTCGAGATTGATATTTATCCCATATGAAACGAGAAAAGACGTCGATAGCCGTTATCGACTTGGAGTATTCGTGACGCAAACGCGGTTCTTCACGGCACTGGAGAGACGTCGTCCGCGCGAATAGCACGGCGAGTCCTTCCTGCCTGCTTGGTCGCGCTCTCCGGCCCGGGATTTCCGGAGTCAATTCGCATAATCCTGTACGGCCGTCGCACCTGCGGGACACGTCGTAATGCTCCGGGATGTGCCGTAATATGACCGGGAGATAGTGTATCGGAGGACGCCGCCGGTAACGGCATTATGCTGCCTCCCGCGCGTCAGCCCGGCGCGTTACTGCGAGACGGGGACGTATAAAATCCGCGGCCTTATGCCGGATGGCTGTCCGTAAACGCGTCATGGGTGATTTCGCAGTCCCATAAAAGGTCCGTGCCATTTCCCCGCGTCTTCGTTCTCTTTCTGGCCGTTTCGAAGCGCGCTCGTCTTGTTTATCCCGGCGAATTCGATACCTTGTCTCTCTCGCGACACGACACGACGCGACGCGCAATCCACAGATTCGCCTGGAATTACCGTCGCACTGGCGCTCGTCACTGCTTAACGTTAAACGGAGTGACAGGTGCGACGACCGGGGCTGCCGACGTTTCACGGTGATGACGAGTAAAAGTGAGCATCGTGAGACTAATTACGTGAAACGTTTACTGTAGGCGGGTTTTATATTCGAAAGTTATCGTCAACACGAGTGTGTCAATTGTTTCTTCTTGACGCGGGTGTAATAATAACGAGCGTGTAAGAAGTATGATATAAGATCTGTTCTTTTTAGTTGAACTGTTTGAACACACTAGTGTAGTAAGTTAGAAAGTAAAACAAATATATTTTATTTCATTTTAACTTATTGCACCAGTCTGCCCCAGTTCAAGTTGTTCAGCTAAAAAGAACAGACGTATAATATACATGGAAAAGAAAATTTGGTTGTATTAACGTGAAGTTTGATTTTAACGAACAAACCAACACACTTTAGTTGAAGAATACAAAATTGCCATGATTCTTATGACACAAATTTGATTTCAAGAATTCGAAATTCTGTTCTTATAATTAAAACGCATTGATTCGTTCATTGCAAACAAACTTCGTACTAATGTATACAAACCTTTTTCTCCATAGCAATTGAGAATCACTATAATATAAAGATTAAGGCGTATTTCATTCGTGAGAATGCGGAGCATAAAATGTTAACTATACGTCGACTAAATTCTTATTGTAGAAGCTTTGTCAAGTCGAAATTTAGATTCTACGTTAAGCCTGCAAATATCGTGGAACTTACAGGCCAGTGAAGAATCTCGAGATATAGCGTCTATATAGACTATTGTGTTTTTTTGATGCTACAAATCGTAGCCGCTTTTTCCATGTGGGAACTTAAAAAAGAATTTGCCGACCCGATTTGTGTTTACCCGAGTCGAAATGTTGATTCTACATTGACCTTGCAAATTCTGTCAAATTTGAAGAGTCAATGAAAAATCTCAAGATGTACAAACTACTGACTTACCTTGATACTGCGGATCAGTTGTTTACTGCCGTTTTCTCCATGTTGCAGAAGCTTGAAGAAACACTCATTCAAGAATTATTATTTAAGGATATATTGCCTATCATCTCAAAAATGTATATAATGAAGATTTTGATAAAATTGCAAGTTAACCGATATTACATCTAAAAGTGATCACAAACGATTTGACATTGATTCAGAGTTTGGATAAAAAATTATTCCACAACAAAGTGTAAAATCAGCAAACATGATGACGTCAAATGACGTTTTAATAACATATTAATAACGTTTCAATAATATGTCGTTAATGCGTCATTTGATGTCGCCCTGCTAAGTATCTTAAACTATGCTGTTATGAAAATACGATGCTGCTATCTTTAGTAAAAAGAGAGGTATCGAAAAAATAATGGAATAAATAAGAATCTCAATTTTTGTATACATATACTTTAAGTATTTAAAATAATGTTTGCAAAATTCTTTCGTGTGATTCAAAGAGATAAAGTTAAAAAAAAACAATAATATAGAATAAAGTTAATAAACTATAAAAATATATTAAAATAAAAATATAGTGTTATTAATCCATGTAGGGACTATACGGGCAATGCATCCTTATCAAATCTTATCTTTAATTATTTTTTTAGTTACAATATTTTAGTTATATTATTTTAGTTACAATACCCGATGAATCGAATTTGAGTTATTAATTATTTATTATTCAATTATCTCATTAAATTTTTAGTAGAATTTCATTTATAGACTGCGGATCGCTCGATCGTGATTCGACGATGACAATTTGAGAGCCGATATTCACCTCGATATTTTCGAACAAAATGACAAAGTCTAAAGACGCGCGCGCACGACGTGATCAAACCGTCCCTTCATACACGTTTCTGGCTTTCTGCCCGACGCATTACGTTTCGCGGAGAAATTTCGCGAAAATTAAGTGCCCGGATACATCGAATGCACAAAACCAATACTCGCTCACTGCCATTCGTATCTTCTGTTCGGCGGAGAAATAGCAAAAGTTAAAGAAATCATGGCAGCATATCATCCACCCAAATGTGAGACTTTCGGAGTCTTCAAAAATGTCTCTTCACGAGCTGTATAAAAGTGGCCACAATAACTATGGCTCGATCGTTATACAATCAATAATTCATGATAAATGAAAGTGTGGCATTTATAATTATAATTGGTAAATGTATTCACACGCGATTGGAAATGAGCGAAATGTGGCTATATTCGAACGAAGTGTGGCCGTATTCGTACGATTATGTACGTTATTCAACGATTTTTCAACCACGAGGAAGATCCAAACATAAATTATAAGTTGCGTCCTCATCACTTATCTTATAGTTAACTACCTTGATACTTCAGTACCTACCTTAAACAACTACCTAATTCCCCCGATGCATCTCTCTTCGCAAGGGAAATGTCGCAAAAATTACGCGCACAGGTGCATTCGATGCATAAAAACTAATTGCTATTCACGATAGTTGCACCACTCAGCCGAGAAAATTTCATAAAACGCACATTGTGTAAAACTCGAAAAAATTAAGAATCTTCAATCATATTTTACACCGTTACAGAAATCATACG